AACATTGATGGCTCAATTTTTCCGCTTGATAGGCACCGTCCAATGATTTGTCAAATTGCTACAGTCGCTTGGTAGGCACCGTCCATGATTTGTCAAATTGCTACAGTCAACATTGAAAAAATAACGAGTTACTGTAGCAGTTTTTTTGCCTATAAAAGGCAATGAATTACGAAAGGTCAAGATACGAAAATCGATCATTCACTGATCAGAAGAAGAAATTTGAGAGTGTTATTTTGTAACTCTTATTCCATTCTGAGAGAGTATTTATTAAAAGAAAAAATAGAGTGATTTATTACTCTTTGTCATCATATTTTTAGAGGACTTTTTGTACTCTCCCTTTTACATAGTGAAATCATTTTGCTCGTCGTTATCCGTGGGTTTTTTTCTCCGATTTGGAGTTTTCCCACGTTAAAATTTTGTCTCCATTATTCTCTTACTTCTCTTTATTTCCAATTAAATTTGATCCAGTCTTCCGCATTGAGTTGATACCCCAACAATACGATATTTAATACTACAAACATTTATGATTAGCTTGGGACAACCGTTTTAATTTAGGAACTCTGGCTGAAGAAATAATTTCAATTTATGATAATTAAACAATTTTTGTTTAAATTTTAACACCAGCCACAATTTCAACGTTATTAAACACTTTCAATCTCAATTTATGTTTGAGTCGATGAAATAGTTTTAACAGAAGTTCCTAAATCGTAATTCTTCCTTGATAATGTATTAAGTCATTATTCTGTGACATGGCTAATTGTGACTACTTGGAATTTACATCAAAGATTTGGAAATACTACAATAAGAAATTGGATTAAGTCAATTTTTCGTTTAAAGGGCAATGGAGCTCCATTCTATGCAGTAAGCCATGAACAAAAGCATTCAAGGTCCAACCTTGACAGCATTGTGAATTATCTGCATAGTACATATCAATCTTCTGATCAAAGTTCGAGGTTTGTTATTTCAAGAGATCCTTTGATGTATAAATAAGTGGAACAATATCACTCGAACAAAAGGAAAGCCTTAATTTTATCAGCAATTTTGTTAGTCCAGAAACACTAACCTGTGTATTGATCTAGTCCAAAAAACTACCAGTACAATACTACAATTCCTTCTACTGCAGCCTTGGAGGCATTTAGAGCATCAGTACAGAGTTACTAGATCTCCTTTTCATCAACTTCATCTTCATTAGCAGTACCTTAAAATCTACAGTGGAAGGTATGTCATGAAGATAAAGAAGAGTTAGTCACCGTAACAATGTTTTTTAAGCAAAACCAAGAGAAAGTTGAAATTAAGCATGTTTGGATCCATGTGGAAGTTTCTATGGATCTACGTTTACTTTAACGCTACTAATTATAATTTCTGCATTAAATCCACGTTTACAGGTCATCAAGCGCGAATCTAAACATACACTTAGTCTAACATATGAAAAAGATATGGTTATTTAGAACAGTAGCACCTCCCAGAAGTTTTGAGCGCTTCTGTGAGTTCCGGTAATCAGTACAAGGTTGATTAAAAAACCTTTGATGAATCCATAAACTCAAGCTATTTAGGTCCATGGCTTGGTTCCTGCTGCTAGTGACTTACGTTGCACTGTTTGGTCAGTATGGCATGTGTAAAGACTGTTGCAGAAAGGGTGACCGTAACAAGTCTTTAATGAATCATTTTACATCAGCAGACAAATGCACAACCCTGTTGCTACTCGCATAAACCAACTGTTAAGTCACATGAATTTTATAGTACAATTCTAACCCGTCCCTCAAACAAGAGTCCTTTAATTCACAAACCCACTTCTTTTATTCTAAACTTTTGGTTAAATTAATGAGATGAAAATCTAGACCACTTGGTCATTAAGACTCTGACCAAGCCATAAACTTAATTATCCCAAAAGCTTAACAAAATTATTTGTTGCACTAGGAACCTGCTTTACAAGGGTAACACACATGTTCTAGATCATATCTAATTTGAACGCTATTTGCCACGGTAAAACCATCTTTTGTCTACCTAAGAGCTCCAAAATTACATTCTACCTTATGTCCTGAGGAATGCAGTACATACCGAAATTTATTGAAAAGTGAGAAAGATAGACAGTAGATAAAATTTCATAGTGCCAAAAAATATCATTTGAAAGATAGTTAAGTGGATTAACCCCCCAAGATTGAAATCACCTGTCCGGTTATGCGTTGTAAAGTAATATTTGAATTGAAATTACCTGTCCCCAGTTAATGGCACCCTTCCAAGAAAAGGGAAAAATTAAAGGATCATGACGTACGAGCAGAGTAAAATGAGTCTGGTTATTAATTAGTTCTTATGCTCTTGTTTTGAATAGTATCATTCCAGCAACCAATTCAACAGTTCAACGGTGTTACAGTAAGCTAGATTGCAATCCATTGTCAAAATTTATATGGTATACCATAAATCGAATCACTTCAATGGCATTACTACGAAGCTCAACAACACCCAAATTAATTTGAAGTTTTTCGCAGCGCAATTTCTTGTCCAATTCAATACTACTAATTATCTTATCAACTCATAAACAGCAATGCATAGAAAACTTTCAAATTGAAAATGATCAAAACAATAATGAATGCTTATTAGAAGGTTAAAAAGCGTTAGTATCATATATACCCTACTTTTTTCTTTTCTTTTCCCTCCAATCTATCAAATAAATGACTAATAAAACAAAAGCAAACTAAAAATGGAACTATTAAAACACCCAATTGCAAGAAGCCACGGAAAGATGTAGAAACAAAAGAAAAGGCAGTACACGTTTCTGGGCTCACAGTTCAAGCTGGCAAACCCACACTTGGTATTTCCTTAGTAGACTGGTGCGAAATATCTTAGAAAAAGGAAAAAGGTTCAAATTATCTCTAAAACGAGCTAGTAATTGAGGCCATTTTTAATTGAATTTAATAATTAAGATTTTTATATACTTTATATTAAATGAGATAAATATACCTGACTCATTTCGGAAACAAATCCATTTTAAAATAGCACTATCCCATCCATGAGTACATAGTTAATTTGGAGCAAATCAAGGTTTAGATTTTCTAGAAAAATCGTGGTAATAAGGTGGTTTGTGAAAGATTTAAGGTTTTTATCAAACCAGTTAGCATGTGTCAAGAAGAAGGAATTTTGTATATGGTAGGTTATGTTAAAATTTTGTAAATCTTTCTGAATAAATATTAGTTAGATCTTACTCCTTTAGTGTCTACCAAAAGTGAGAGAAATGTAAAAGTCATATTAAAATTTTATATAGGAGATTATGCATTCCCCGTTATAAACATGTGGAAATTACTTTTGGCAGCTGGTGAGGAGGCTTCACACTTTGAATTGGGCCTTCATAGATTTTGCTTATCCTATAATGAGTCCAATTGCTCCTATCTTGCTTTTGCTTTGGGAAATTTACTCCATTTGCTCCTTTGTATGCTCACCAAGTCGGTATAGTTTTCTAGGATGACTTTCCAAAGACTTTCAATTGAGAGTATCCATTACCCTTTACATATTCATTTCACATAATTTGATTAAATAATATTAGGTGAAAACAATATCGTTGTATTGAAAATTTAATTTGAGGCTTAGTATGTCATATTAAATGGTTTAACAAATTAAATTATATATATCAATTTTAAAATGAAAATCAACCAAAACAGTTTAATTAATTTTCTAATATACATATCAGTGATTAAATTTACATTTGAAAGGTTACGGATCTATGTTTATTTAATGCTATTAGTTATAATTTCTGTTGAATTTATATTTATAAATACTTTTAACATAATTTTAAGTACACATATTTTGATAAAAAAAAAAAACTAATTTCAGCTTGAAATTTTAATAGCTAAAAGGATTCAAAGCTCATTAAAAAAATCAAAGAAAACATAAGTAAAAAATTAAGCCATTTAGCATGCATGCATAATTGCCCATTTATTAATAACTTTGGAATAGTGATATTAGTTAGGGGAATGCATGGTTGGATTGAATGATCCGATCAATGCCTGGGATTGTAATTTTAAAGATCGGAGCATCATTAATTAAATAAGTTGAACGTTTTTAATGAGCTAATTAGGTTTAACTTTGATATGTTATTATTATAAAATTATAGACTATGATCAAATTTGGTATGAATATATACTTTTATTAAATTAATTAATTATATTAACAGTTACATAAGATATAATGATCTTCTATCTGTTACCAGGCATTTAGCGTAAACAATAGATATGTATGCCGAATGCCGCTGGATCGTCCACTCTATCCAGAGCACAAGTAAGAGATTGAGATTTACACCATACATGTAAGCTGAAAAGAGTTCTTCCTAAACATGCAATTTGCTAAAAGTAGTATCGTGTACACTGTAAGACGCTTGAATCCCTGGTCAAACTCATTAATGAAAAGACAAAATTAACAAATTAATAAATATAAAATTCTTTCACATATATTATGCTTTAAAATTAACTTTTAATCAATTGCAAAATTTTCCAGTTTTAATCATTTTGTTTACAAAGAAAAAAATTAACGAATGACTTCTGCCTAGATCTTTCTGACGAAATTCAATACTTTCATCTGTAATTTAAGTTGTCTTTTTAACATAAAACAACTCACATTTCAGTCAAATTGAAAGCGTGTAAAACTAATTCAGAATCACAACAAACATGAGTAATTGAGATAATCTAAGAGATGTATTTGGATCGTTTTTCTCTTTTACTTTGAATAGATATGTTCTCATTCCTATTATAAAAGTTTCATATTATTTCTACAGTAAAAGTAATATGATATTTTTATAATTATCAGCAAAAATACATAAACTAAAATAAAAATCAAAGTAAATAGAATGTCCTCCGAGTGTGGTATTTTATTGCATCAGAATAACACTCAAATAAATAAGTATAATGTGCATTATTCATTAAATATTTTGAAGAAATGAAAGCTTCACATAAAAATATTCAAAGAATAAAGGGTACATTTTTATTGATATACAGCCACTACCATCTAATCTATCAGTTATGCGATTCGTTAGTCTTGTTAATGATCGAAGTAAGCTTAGAGAGGGTCAAAGGTTTTTCTAGGTATTCATCAAGTCCTGCTTCCATAAATTCTCGTACTTGTGCTTCCACAGCGCGCGCAGATACACCAGCAATCATGCTATCAACTCCCATTGATCGAAGTTTCTTTGTTGCCTAGGTGCCAACGTATAGAAAAATCAATCTTGTTATAATAAAATCTACCAAGATTATTCTTATTAAATGATGGTAATAGTAAACGTCATTATTATTATAAAACATTAAGGATCACGCGTAATTGAGATGTGAATCATTGAACATTGTGTTGGTGAAAATAATGTTACCTCGATGCCATTCATAATGGGCATATCCCTATCCATGAGAATTAGGTCAAAACTTTGTCCTGAGTGGTGAATGTCCACTGCTTCTTTGCCATTTTCCACAACTTCATTTTGCACTCCAGCACTGCTCAACATCTTGCGGTGAATCATTCGAATCACCATGTCATCATCAACAATAAGTGCCTTTAATTGGCGAGATCCCATGACTTTCAATTGTCTTCACTTCTTCCTACCAAAGCAGCTTTTGGTTTTGTCTGTTCCACTGTAACACCAAAAAATTGCAATTGTTAGATACGTGTATATATTTGTGTGTCCAAATATAATGCTCTAGGAAAATGTATAAGGTGTGGTCTTGGTCTACTGGCAGTCCAACATTTATATCTGTTGTTGGATTTGATGATGTAAAATTTTAAAATATGAAACAAATTACTAATTAATTAATTAGTAAATTATAGATGATCTAAAACTCTAGTAGATCGATCATCCTATAATAACTGATGTTGTAATGCTGACCTGAATGGATAACTCTTTATCCAAAAGCAAATAGGAGTGAATGATGGATAAGTGGATGGCTAGGAGAGCTATATATATACTCTTTCCGTATGGTTCAAAGAGGTATAGAACTGTGTGCTGCTGATTAAAGCATAAGGAAGAGAAGAGAGACGAGAAAAAAAGTGTGGTATTAATCAGTATTGGATTCGGATAAGTATCTTATGGGATTTTGTTCAAAATCTCAAAATCTGTTGAATTCTAAACTTTTTCCTAAAATGGGTTGATTCCCATCTTGAATAAACTTCCAGGGCATCTTTCCTAATTTGAGCAAGACAGGCAGACAAAATATTTCAAAGTAATTTTATTTTTTTATTTTTTGGAGAGGTAGGAGACTTCATTCCATTCAATCCCTTTCATTTTCTTTGGCACAAAAAACAGCTATGCCTAAACTTTTTAAATATCACTTTTCTTCCTAGGCCATCAAGTCTATCTATACCGTACAATAATGCAAGAAGAAAGCAGAGGCATATGTTCATTCCAATTTTCTATTAAAATATAGTTCACATTTAATTTTTCTCACCAGGACATTACATGATTTGGGTCTATATAAAGTGAAAATCAATTTGGGTGACCGTGAAAAATACTACTTTATATGACTCAATGTTGTTTATTGTGCGTCATAACTTTTGTCACATTCAATCTTGTTTGTTGATGTTACATGGCAAGTTGGCAATTCGTTTCGTGGTGGACTACAATTACCCCAACCAGATCCTTAGCAATTAGTTAACTTTTAGTGCCTAAAATATTGTAATAGTATGCCATATGTGTGCCCTAGTTGTAAATAGTTTTGGAATATTCTTACTTTCTTTGGTCGCTTTTATCCATTTCATTGATCTTCTTTGCATTTTATACTTTGTATATCTCTTAGAAGTTAGATTCATTAGTCCAACTTTGGTTTTCTTCTCTTTAATATTAGAATTACAATAATGACAACTGAAACTTAATTATGCCATAAATGGATTATTTTGTATTTAAAGCTTGAGAAATACAAAAGTCAAATATGTTTTTTTTTTTAAAGAAGCTAATAAATATGCATGCGATTGTTTTAAAGATTATTTTCTTATTTAGGTATTAGGCTTCTATCTAAAATTTTACGGATAATCCTGATCAAATCAGATAGTATCCATTATTCTTATATATTTTCTAATATTTGAAGAAGTGAATTTTCTTTTTCCGCAAAACAAAATTAGCAAAAACCACCTTTGCATGTTCAGTACATTGTGTCTGTCCCTTGATATGATAATGATGATAATCTCATGATGCCACCAGAACATAAATAGTAATAGGTTGCCGCTTTGATGGTGTAGAGCTTAAATTAAAAAGCATATAGTCCACTTTAATTAAAAGGTGGTATCACACTAATTTCATCTTTACTCTTCGTTTAATCCATAATTGTAACAAGGGTCGTGAATTTACACAAATAAAGAACCTTCATATTTTTTCAAATGCATTAGAAATTTTATTTTTATTTGTTTCCCTCACTTTCTTCAATAGTCCATTAGAAACATTTCTATATTATTAATAGGAGCTATATATATGCTGCATGCCATCAGATTACCAAACAAACACGCACACACGTTTGAATTTAACGAGATATTTAGCTATATTATTGAATTTACAAAATATACTTATTATATTTGTTTTCATCCTTTTAATGTAAAACTAATTAATTTATCTTGAAACATTAAAATCCTTACTCTTTACAAGTATTTTTACCTATCACTTAAGCCAAATTTCTGAAGTATATTTATCACTTGAACCATTTCTTGTGGGTTAAATAGCAATCACAATATATGCATGCAAAATGCATCGCGGTTACATTTGCGTCTATTTGTTACAGGTGTTTTGGAAATAGTAGATTTTAAGAAAAAAACAAATACGAGGCAATTAATTAGTTTCATGTTATTGTAACGCACGAGTTATGTTAAATTTCATATTCTATTTTAATTTAGAAAATAAATATTTATATAGATTTGAATTTGCTATTTTATTTTTAAAAACTTCTGGTCAAAATATTTTAAAAAATCAACAGGAAAAAAATTGTACTAGAAAAACAAATGCACATTTATTTATTATTCTCATAAAATGTAATCGTTATACAATTAAGTTATTTCCTCTACAATTTATCAATTTTAGTTTTATAAAACTTCTTTCCTCTAAAGCAATAATTGCAAGAATTGCTACCATAATTCTTAAAAATATATCTAAATTCGAAAATAAATCAAGTTTTTTTTTATATGATTGACGGTGTCCGCTGGAGTGATATTTCCACTTGTATAATTTGTTTCAAAACTTTCAATTCAAAAATAAATCTAATCCATTATTGATAGTTGAGTTATAATTATATTTTAGTAAATTTTCAAGGTAGAAGCAACTTTTTTTTATCAAATTTTTTTCTTCTAGCGTGTCTTTTAATTTTCATTTTTTATATAGAACAGAAAATTAAAAGTTCTTCATACAACTTAAATTGCTTTAAATATACTTTGAAATGAAAAAGTCGATTGATCAAGAAGTGAAAAAGTTACTTGAAAAAGTTTCAAATTAATATTCAAGATCAAACTGCCTTTAAGCTTGCCTTAATTTATCAACAAAAATGGTCGTCTCGGGCTACCACAAAACATTGACGTGTAGATTGTAATGAGAACTTTAGAGGCTCTCTTTGCAATGCTTATTGATTAGAGAGATAATTTTAATTAGAGACTAGAGTGATATTGATAAGAAGAACAATTTATATAATGTGAAAAAGTAGAGAGAGAATTTTAATGCAAATATTATTAGAAAAGATAAATTTATTTTAAGTGAAAACAAAAAGGGAACGATGAAAGTAAGAAAAAGTGACTGTAGGAAATACAAATCTTTTGGTATTAGGAAAGACAATTGATATATTAATGATACAAATAAAAAGGTCAAATTAAAGTTCTACAGAGACAATTACTACTAAACAGGGAACTGATTAATAAGAGAAGATATCGATGTTAATATTATATGGCCTACTTTCTGTAGGAGATAATATTCCAGACTTTCAATCTTCAGGTTGAACTCCTTTGTTTATAATTTTTTAAAAGGAGGTAATTAGGCTCTTGATGAGTTCACAGCACGTACTTTTAAAATATCTATGTATATATGTTGAGCATGGTGAGGACATTTGCTTGCTTTAGTATTGATGACTTCATAGTAACTTTACCATTTGTATATAATTTTACCACTCGTAAAGGACATTTGCTTGTTTTGTGGAGCACGGTGCTGCGAATGTTTAATTTACAAGGCAAAAGTAGACAAGGGAAGAAGGAAAGAGAGAGAGAGATGTTGAATAGTTGGAGACGATTGAAGGAAGTATTTCAAACAAATTAAAAGGAATTAAATTAACAAAATATTCTTGTTTAAATAAAATAGTATAATCCCAAATTTATTAGGAACTAAAAATATATTGTTTTTTATAATTTTTAAAAACTAAAACAAATAAAATTTCACAGAAAATAAAACTGAAAAAAATAAATCACACCTTCAATTATTTAACCTCTTTCTTAATTATTATCCACTTCGTTCCATAAAGCTTAACTATCTCCACTAATAAATTATTATTTGCCAGATCTCTTTGATTCTGACATCTTGACTTTAGCATTATATGCCCATTATCAAGCTGAACATGAGGTAAGCTTGGTTAATTTTCAATCCTGCAATTAAACCATTTTCACCCGTACGTGAGCGCAAGTGTGGAGTAACATATGCATCTTCTATTCCAAGGAGCATTACACCTTCAAAAATATATTCCCAAACTCTTACACCTCAATCCAAACTAAATTCAAGTAACTACAAACCCATGCACAATCCTTTCTTTGAGGTTTCAATGGGTGAATGTTACATTACTTTCCAATTATATGCTGGCACGATCAAATAATAGGGTATACCATTTTATATTGAATTGTTCATCAAAAGGAGACTCATTTCACACCGTTAACGCAATATTTTTATGTTTTTGTTCAATGACTACCGTTTTCCCTCTCTAATCCAGCATCAAAAAATATGGGCGATGCAGATAAAATGAGAAAAGAAATAAAACACGAACGCCACCAAAGTTTCATGCACGTAGCAATATACAAAATACCCAGCAATTAATAAGACTACATATAGCGAAACAGTACAGCTAGATATTAATATCTAGGTTTTAAAGAAGTTGAACTAGTGTTCTTTCTCAAGTCTTTTCCTTAATTATTTTGAGCAACATTTATACTCACGTAGATACTGTACTTTGTGCTCTAAGAAAATAGAATCTGAGAACACTAAAGATTGATAATAATTGACCATAGTTAAAGAAGAATACATAATTACCATAAAGAAAAAGTCCTATGTGAAATTTGCAAACATGCTAGGGAACTGATAACTTGCCCAATATAAGTAATTTTTCCTGCATACACTACACGGTTGGGTTTTCACTTACCAGTAAAATTGGGGTTGATCCTATTAAGAATTGAACTAAACTTAGCAGGGTTTAAGGGTTTCTCTTGGTAGTCATCCAGCCCGGCTTCCATAAATTTTCGTATTTCTGCTTCCCTAGAGTGTGACGAGACACCAACAATCATGCTACGAACGCCCATTAAACGAAGTTCCTTTGTTGCCTATATAACAATTAAACATAAAAAAACAAGAACAAACACGATTATTTTTAATAAAAACATCTTCATTGGGCAATCATTATTTCATACTTTCTAGCTTCCTTATTAAAATGGTAAAGCAAGTCTAAACAAATAACGTTCAACTCCTTAGCCTGTTATATGGAACACAATTGATTAGCGGTAAACTTGAGTGTAACATAATTAATCAAGTACCTCAATACCATTCATAATAGGCATATCCATGTCCATGAGAATTAGGTCAAATCTTTGTCCATGGCAGTGAATGTCCACTGCTTCTTTGCCATTTTTCACTCCCTGATTTTTCACTCCAGCACTCTTCAACATCTCTTGATGAATCTTTCGGTTAAGTATATTGTCATCTACAACAAGTGCTGTTAAATGGGTGACCAAGTTTTGAGATGCCATTCGATCGGGTTCTGTTTTGGGATTCCACAACTTTTTTACGTCTCCTCACCACTTGTTGCACAAATAAATAAATGAAGAACTAATAAGTATGCTTTCCTCTTTAGACAACAAGGATATATAACTATTAAGGCAAATGGTAATCGGTGCTCAAAAAATAAAAAAAATTGTTCAAATATTGTTAGTGTACTCTTATATATGTTAATGTTTTAATACATTCTAAACATACTTTTAAACTTTTTAAAAATTATTTAATCAATGCATTTAAGATATTGATCAGTAAAACCCAGTTGTTAATATGCATGTAGCTAGGTTTCAAGAGAATGTAGCAGGAGCACTAACCTGAATGAGACCTTTTTCTTCAAATTCCGAGACTAAAGCCACTATTATGAGTAGGAGGGGAAGAATGAAAATGGATCAATATATAGCTAGCTAGCTAGTTGAGTTGCTATATACATATATATATATATATATAGATATATACACATATCCTTCCCATGTGGTTAATTGAGTAAGCTGTGACGTAAGATTGAAATGAAATGGAAAAGAAGGAACGAAGTGTTAGATTGTATGTGAGCTAGCATCAACATTGAGTTTGGAAGAGAGTCTCTGGATTTTGTTCAAAATCTAAAAATCTGAGGGAGAGTGATATTTTTCCCAAAAGAGGGATGATTCCTATCTTGAATAAATTCGTAGGGCACCTTTTTTCTATTTTTCACAAGACAAGAAGACAATGAAATTTCGAAGTATATTTTTGGGGTCCTTTTGTTATTTGCCTTTCATTTTCTTTGGCACGAAAACCGAGCGCGCGAGTATGCCAAACTTATTATATAACTTCATTCTTCCTGAGCCATCGAGTGTATGCATACCTTACAACGCAAGGAAGAGAATAAACATGGGTAAGCACACATGCCCACATTACTTTTTTTACCAGAACGAGAATAATACATTACGTGGTGTCTACAGCTGCTATTAGAATCATAGAATGCTACTAGCTAGTTTGTCCTGCTTATAAATAGAATTGGATTCTTATTTCATCTTCTCTGCGTAGAGGTATGAAAGAGTTGGATAATTTTTAAAAAATTCATAGCTTGTCGATAAAAATAAAGTATTAATTCATTTATGATATGTTAAACATGTATTAAAAAATTCAATGCATTCATAATTCGTATAATAAAAAATCATCTAGCCTGTTTATTAACTACTTTTAACACAGATAGATATCTAAGTCTAACCCATCTATTCGAAGGTTTGAATACCCCTTGTATTCATTTTTGTCATAAAATTTCCTTGGTTGATAAAATAAAAAGTCCAACCAATTTATTTAAATTATATTATATTTCTCATAAAATAATCTTGTAAAAGTAAAAACTAATATTTATGTAAATTCATATATTGAAATACTATAAAATTTAAAACTCGTTTCGTCAAGACTCATGCCTAATTACTAAGAAATTTTGGCCCACTTAACTTAATGAATTATAAAATGTGTTAGATGGATTATTATTTATCTGATAACAAATAATCTAATCTGACTTATTTATTAATTTTTATTTTTATAATTAGATAGATTGATTGAATTCATATATCGGTAAATTGAATAGTTAATAAATAAATAGGTTTAATTAACACCGCTAACAACTGTATAAGATATATCTATTTAAAATTTGTTATTTTTTTTGAGTTATTCTTAATTATTGCTAAAGAATGTATATCAGTTGATCAATATACTAACATTTCTTTAGAAAAATATATAGATTGTTGGTCCGTTAATCAATTTAGATATGCTGTAATCAATGACTAACTTATAAGTTAAAGTATATAATTTGATTTCAATTTATGAAAGATATATGATTCATTTACCTTCTTGATTTTTTAACTTATTATATAAATGCTTGTTAAAAAAATTATCTAGATTGAGTCTAAAATTAAAATAAATGGAATTCCAGAGGAAGATGCTTCCGTGTTATAAGATCACAGTTGCTCCACTTGTTTATCTCCAGTAGCCTAACTTGTCAATAACTTCTTAACTGCTCTTCTGTTTGTTATTAACTAACATAACTGTTTTGTTATAACTGATTGTAACTGTTAGTTCTTCTATTTATTGGGAATGTATCGTTTACGGACTACTATTTTTTTTTTCTTTTATATTTTGTGGTCTGTAATAAAATTTTTAGCGAGACTTAACTTTTTATCGTCCCTATCTTCTAGCTAAAACACCTTTTTCGCCATTTAACAGTAAGTAGCCAAGTGTTTCTATAGAATGAGTCACATTCACTTGGAAAAATACGGAAGCAGTTTTGTTAAAGATAATTAATGTTAGACTAAAAACCCAGTCCTAGTTATTAAATTAAAGTAGAGAATATGAGTAATTAGACAGTAGCTTGCTTCTTGAGAGAGTGATTGAAACTAATGATGCTACTAATGTGCTCATGTAATTTTCTAAGGTTTCCAAAATCCTTTTTAAATTTGTTAAAAGGGAAGTAAAAAGTTCAATTTTTTAGCCTAACATTGAGTCTGTTTAGTTCTTGTGTTGAATCACAGTACTCAAAGCTACAGGTAACGACTATCTAATGCTTCACTTATAATCGTCCAATTTTTGTTGGGAGTAGGAAACCACATCGTATGCTAATTCTAAGATGGGCAAATTCGTCGTCATGTTAAGAGAGCTGCCCCTTATCCCAGACAGACTGTTTTCCATTTTTGCTATGTTGAGTTTGGCAGTGGACATCATCAGATGCGTGTTTGGTGATGTTTAACGTGACTTCAATGGAAAAATAAGTGATTTAAAAAAAAGAAAAAATTGTTTAATTACTTTATTTATTGATTGTGTTCAGTTACTTCTAGTCAACTCAAATTTGTACCCCAATCAACAAATTTGACTTTTGGGAGCATTAGTTCATAACGTAACTAAATGGTTTGAAATTTGGTCGATACTATCTTTATTACTTATAAATAAAAGATAAATTTAATAAAGGATACAGGAACAAACTCCTAAATTAATCTTGGTGATTATATAAACACGATATTTTAGTTTGAAACTTCAAAAACCCTACTTAGTAAAATATAATTCTTAATTATTTTATACTGTCATTTTTCCCTAAGAAAACAAATAATTATTTTGAAAGCTTTGAAATTAATATGGGATTTTTAAAATCTGGGATATTAAAATATTCAAATCATGCAATCACAAGGGTTAATTTAAGGATTTGCTCGAAGATAAAGCAAACGGATCTGTTTTGTTCACCCTTCTAGTTCTATAAACTATCACATGAAGAAACGTGTCAAGAATTGGAGTGAAATCATTCATACACTTGGCATAACAAACCATGTTGTAAAAGGATTATTAAACACGAGACAGAGGCGAAAGGCCCCAACCCACGTGAGCAAAGTTCCTCTTTTTATGACAAACTTGAGTCTTCCGAAGTTGTTTTTCCCAGTTCGAATACTAAGTTGCTTTTGTTTTCTGTTCGCCCCAAAAGCAAGCGTGTTTAGCATGTGCACCTGTAGTGCTTTGTAGTTTCGTTGGGCAAAGGCTTTGGTCCTCATAAAGAAGTCCAAAATGTTCAAGTAACTGAGCCAATGAGACTTTCTTGAAAACCATTTACCACAATCAATGTTTTCTCGGTGTATATTACAACTTGCGCACTGCATTTCACCACCAGCACTCTACAAATTCCAACAAACATTGCATGGAAAAAGGAAAGACCAAAGAAACTATATATATGGAGAGAGGAAGGAAAGACAATGGAAACCCACTTCTAAATTCGTATGCACGCAAATATACAAAATACACAACAATGAATAAGACAACACCCAAAACCCACAAATTTTTTCTACCAATGAATCTGCTAATCATGAACGGCATCAATTGTTTTGCCTGTTCTGGCTTGTGAAATCCGATTTGCATATATCGTGACCAACTTCAACTGTGTGCTGTTAAGCCCTTGCAAATATGGCAAGAATGCTTTCCCAAGCAAGATATAAATATCCACGAGACAGAAAACAACCGTCTGTAGCCATCCACCATTAACATAAAATGAGAATAATGAAACAGCATAGTATATATAAAGGAAACAAAGGACACTCAAAGTACAAATTATAAAAGTGATAAATATAATAACCTAAACCCCTCATTCAAAGAAAATGTTTATAGATAGAACCAGACACATTTATGATCCTCTAAGCCAGTCAAACTTGTCATCTTGTTAAGTGTGCTGTGTATTATTGTTGATCACCTAAATTCAATACATAAACCTTACAAAGAAATTAAGAGAGTAGTCTACTGATTAGATTTGCCACAGTAAAGGAAGGTCCAACGCAAGTTTAGGGGGGCTCAAATATCAAACCATTAACGCAGAAATACAATGAGCTCGACACATTAAAAGAACAAACTTCTAGAAACGTTAAAAAAATGCTAGTAACACTCAAGACATAGCTTAAAATTTATTAAAAATCATATAAAAAAATATAGATCTCATTCGTAATTTAATGATTCTCTCTCATACTTTCATATTTTTTAATAAATTTTAGTCAATAATTAAAGTATGTTAAAAATAATGTGTTAGAGAGTGTGTTCTTAGCACTTAACATGTTATAAATGATCCCCTGGAATGATTTTGTTCTAATGATGGAAGGGAATGGATAAAGAATGATTGTTCCATTCTATTCTTTCATTCAATATGGCAAATTAATACTAGGAATAAAGTATGGACAAATTGTTCACAATCGTTCAAAGCAAGTTCAGCTCAATAATCCCATGTTTCAATCAGGGACACCATTGTCTTTTTGCCCAGAATAATTTAGGGTTAAATACCAAAAATCTTCTTGGGGTTTTCCTAACGAGTAAATTAACTCTCAATAGTTTTCAGAAACCTACATTTCGTTTCCCTATACTTCTGACTAAGTTGCAATTTAAACAAATTATTCTAATTACATTTTCAAGTGAAAATTGAAGCACCCCTGTATTGTTGACCATCTTAATTGCACGATCAAGTTGTTGA